GCAGTACTTACACTTTTGCATCCGTCGGATCTCAGATTGTATATCTTCTCCGGTCGCTTCCTTGCTCTACAAGCTTGTCAGCACAGGCGGTCTTTGCGTGGCTCGTCGACACACTGACGGTATGCTAGGGGTAGTTGCCTCTGTTGCCAAAGAGAAACTAGGCCAACAGCAAGTTGAAGCAGGCCAAACACGATGGCTGCGATGGAATCGGTGGACTGGCTGTCAAGAGGCATTGAATTCTACGGCTAACCCACAGTCTACTTCAAATCATAGCATTTAGAGATGTCTGTCGATAAGAAGGCGGCACGGCTCATTGCCCTTCTCTATATCTTTCGACATTGTACTTTTGCATGCTGAGTTGTCGAGATTTCTGCAAAGCCACAGCGTTCCGGGAACAATAGTAAGTCAAGAAGCCAATCCCTGAGCGGCAGGCTGTTTTGTACTTCTGTGTCGTTATTTAGGTGTCAAACCTTCGAAATTGTACTTTTGCTGACGCTTGCTTGATTGGCTAATGGTCACTCATGCTGTGTTTTCAACGTGCAGGAAGGGACCTTTTTGCGCATCTAGCCGACCAGGGGGTGTCTAGTATGAATTGTACTTCTGTCTGCTGGCCAATAGCGTTTAGATATAGTTCAGCCTCGTGGCACAGCCCACCACACATATAAACCACCACGAGAGACCCACCATCTAGCTTCCAAGCATACAGAGGTTTGTTTCTTCGTTTCGCTGTGTACCCTCAGAGGTAGTCAGAAACCCTCCGGCTCTCCTGTCTCGACAGCATCACAACATCTGGACGACAAGCATAATTCTTACAGCTTCTCGGAAATCCACGCAGTGTAAATCTTGGCCCGGCTACGATGTCAGCCACTAACGACACTTCGGTATTTGCGCTCCTGCCTCAACTACAAGACATTGTCCCAGATACTCGACCGCGGAGGAAGAAAGCGCGGACTCTCCGCGAGAGTGACTGGGAACCATACAGAGACAGAATTATACAGCTGCACCTTACGGAAAGACGGCCGCTTCCTGAAGTAAAAAACATGATTGAACAAGAAACTGGATTCGCTGCTGAGTGGGACAAGCCCTCCATCGCTGCATCATAACCAGGCTGATGAGCTGCACAGGATTCGTCAGTATAGATCTCGTCTGACTCAATGGAAGCTGGATAAGAATATCAAACCAGAAGAGATGAAGGCCATCGTAAGACATCGCCAACAGAGGGGCCTTATCGATACAAATAAGGGTAGTCTCAGGTTCCGTGTGAGAGGTCAAGAAGTCGAACCTCAAAAGATTGAGAGATGGATGAAGAGACACGACCTTCGTGAGAGCATGATATATGCTCCAAGTCCTGCAGCATGTCAGTTGCTTGGACGTATGTGTCAACTGAAAGGTGTTAACGAAGTGCAGCAACCCCTTCCGCTGTAAGCTACGCAACAATTTCCGAAATTGGATCACCGGGAATACGATTGATCCCTTCCCCGGGGGCCATTCAAGATGTCGATATGGATAGCAACAACTCTCCTCCTACGCCTCGCCAGAATATCGGAAGCCCTCCCACTACACCACGACTAGCAAGCACGGATCCACGTTTCGGACCTTTTGTGAATCAGACCAACCATGCATACGTTTATGCAAAATGGCAATATGAGTATACTATACGCGAGTACGAGTTCGAGCGGGACATTCCAGACTTTACTCTAGACCTCAGCCCAAACGTGTCTCAGGTTCTAGAAGCAACCTCAGAATCACTTTCATCCGTTCCTGACAAGCAAACTGTAATAGTGATCGGCAGAAGTATAGCGCAAATCCTGATTCGGGATTGGATTGGCATGCGTATCTCGCTAGGTGCGCAAACAGACGTCAACTTGCATTTCTATATCCAACAGGTCCCGTCCACAGAGACTGTCAATGTCAGACTCTATGTCAACGCGGGACTCTCACCACAGTCTTGGATTATGGGATTTGATTTGGTTAAAGACTTGCTGGCTACCCCACATTGTAAGGCCGCTTGGACGTCTGGTACATTCAGTCCTACTCACCTTCCAGAGTCTATAAAGGGTTGGCCGTTAGTTGAGGTTCCATGGGACGAGTTACAGCCTTTCTCGTGGGCTCATTTAGTGAGCTAGTTACGATGCAAGTCAAAAAGAGACAATGCGTACTTCATGTTGACGATTGACTCTAGTGAGCGGAACGCAGTAACACCCAAACACCAAATTTAACATCACGTTAGAGAGCATACCTCGTGTTCACAATCGTCTTTGATTTCATTCCCATACCATTGCTTTCATATACATCTTTCTTCCATCCCGTGTCTCATATCCTTGCATACGCATTTCCTCATTAATCGCATACGTCGAGAGAGTAAGAAAAGTAAACCAAAACCAAAACCAAGACACAACATAGACGTCGCTTTGCAGTCGTGAGCGAACTCCGCTGAAAACGCCCAAATAACGCCAACAGGGTCAACATTGTCGAAGCCCCGTGTACCCACGATAAAACCCACCCATGCCATAAGGTATCAGCACGGAGCTAGACACAAGGAGAAAGCAAATAAAGACTTTATACAGTTTTGAAAAGTTGCGAGAGAGATTCCGTTGGGTGGGACGTTTATCTTCTTGATGAGTGGCGTGTTCGGCGTGTGTGGCGATCAGATGAACTTGCGCTGCCTGTATGATTGTTAGTAAACTGCTGGGAATCTCAAGGCCGTGGATTTACTTACTCGAACTTGTGTAATCACTGTACATGTATGATGTTCCACTGACAGTGGTACTCTTATCGTCAACCTTGGCATCATGTCTCCTCTTCAGGCCCAAAGCGAGCGCGAGACCACCAAGTCCAGCCGCAAGGCCCAAACCCTTCTTCGCACCGCTGTGCTTCTCAGAACCAGCGCGCGATGGGCGAGAAGGACGACCGGCTCCGTACCAGCGACCTCCAGCAGCAGCGCCACCGCTGTGGTGGTGCTCTTCGATGTAGGTTTCTTCGTGCGTGTGCTTGCGCTTCTTGCCGATGCCGAAGATGGCAAGGAGAGTGTCGAAGAGAGCGCGAGCGCAGCAGAAGAGGCAGAGAAGGAGGAGTAGCAATATGCCCAAGATAACACCGATAACGATACCAGCGATGGCACCGCCGCTGAGACCGCTGTTGCTCTCTTCGGTTGGGACGAGGCCGCCGCCTGCTGCGCCGGTGGGGATGGGTGTCTGGAAGGGAACGGTCGCGGTGGGGGTTCCGGTATAGGTGATGACTACTACGCCTGAGCTAGTTGGTCGCAGAGGAGCAGATGGTGATATACCTCCGGAGCTGCCACCAGCGATCAGCGCGCAAGTGCCGGCGCTGGAAGACAGACAGTAGAAGCCTGAGTCGCAGCAAGTAGAACCGCAGGGGTTTTGCGACTGGCTACATGTCTGCGTTGCGACGGCAGGGACATATGTGCTGTAGACTTCGGTCTTTGTGAGGAGACCGACTGTCTCGACGTATGTGGTAGTGTGGTATTGCCAGTAGCCGCCTGCTGCTTCTGTGGTCGCTCCACCAGAGCCGCATTGCGCCTGGTTACTTGCGTCGGTGTAGCAAGTTGAACCCGAGGGACAGCATAGCCAGCCTCCGTAACCACAGGGGTTGTCGCAGTCGGCCTTCTTGACAATCTGCGACGCGTTGTGCAGTTCTTGGAACTCTTCAATGTGGACGGGGTATGGCTTTGCGAGAGCTGAGGGCAGATGTGCCAATGCGACCAGGCCGAGTACGGCTGGAGGAGCATTGAAAAGCCACATGATTAGAGATGAGCGATTGAAGGACCAAACGCAGTAAGAACGAGGTTACTGCGATTGGAATAGATAGGACCGTTTGCAGGAAACGGGGAGAGAAGCGAAAGAAGAAGCGCTCTGCAATTCGTAGATATCGCGCAGTCGGCGTGGGAGCGGTGAATGGGTGGATATTGGTGCTGCGGGGTCGATCCGTTGGCTAGCGTGTCTTTCGTGTGTCTGCTGGCGTGGGTGACTGGTTCCGCTGGTGGTGCAAGTTTGGAACCACAAAAAGTCAGCTATTATTTTGAACTTGAATTATAGAGAGAAGAAAGGGTGGTAGGATGTGTGTAATCGTGCAGGAGGAGGTGCGCAAAGAAAAGGGTACACTTGGAATAATCGTGTGGTTGGAAACCGCGGGAGAGGTTGGGGGTGGTTGGGGGACCTTTCCTCACCAACTCCAGCAACACCGGGGTTATGCGCTTGCGGGATTTTTGAAACTTGGCTAGAGTCCAGTAGTGGGAACAGTACGTCGTGTCGTTTTCGTGATGTCAATCAAGTGAGTTCGCGTTCTATGAGAAGATGTGTGCTGCCTCACGACTCTATCAGAGGGGGTGTCGTTTACAGTGACGCTGAGCGCTCGCTCCGCCTTCGGTTCACCCAGCAACGACCGTCGCGGCATCACCTAGGCACCCTCTTCGTCTCAGCGCACGTTCAATACCACCATCCGTCATAGCAATTTCCCCCAGAAGGATGTGCCCGGCCCGTGTTGGTCAAAGCCAGATTCCTGTCTTGGCTTCGGGCAGTAGTTCCTCAAGCACTCTGCCTCGCGGAGTCCCGTGGTTCTGCGCATGCAGCCTGCAAGCTGGTGCAGTGGTTTGCCTTAGTCGCGCATAGCCTCTTGGTATCGCTATACTTCTTTCCGCTGCCTCCGAAAAACCGTTGACTTGTCCTACTCGTTGTCAAGATCCAGACTCCAGATTTCCGGCCGGCTATAAATATCTTCCGCCGTGTACCTGCAGGGCTCGTGTGATGTTGTGGGCCGCCTGCTGTGCTGGCAACTGGCCCTTCCGTTTTGCACATGCCAACCACTACACCGTAAGTCGATGACAGGTACGCAGCAAGCTGTCAACATTACCGAAAAGGAAGGTCAAGTCTCTGTTGTCAAGGCTTTCTCCGCATAGTTTCACATTTCATATTGACTCACGTCTCTCTCTTAGGACAGTAAAGCGTGCTTCCACCATACCCACCACACAAACGTGTGACTCTTCAGCTCACCCTATCGAGTCCATACTCCACAACCATCTTCTCCGCCGCTTTTTGCGCAATGAGATACGCCGTAGCCTGCGTGTGATTATTCGTTGTAAGAGGTGCAACGCTCATATCCACAACCCTCAACCCCTCCGCTCCCCTAACCTTGAACTCCTTACTCACAACCGCTTCTGCATCGTCGTCCCTTCCCATCTTACAAGTACCGCAAGCATGCCAAACTGTACTGGCATTCTCCCTTGCAAAACCATCCAAATCCGCATCGCCCATGGACTTTGGCCCAAGAATGGTACGCACAATATGCGGAGCAACGACAGGATTTCCTGTTATTTTCTGCCACGTGTTGCGGATAGCTTCGCGAAAAACACGGACGTCGAAGGGGTGCGTGAGGAAATTTAGCGCAATGACTGGTTTGTCAGACGCCTTTGCTGACCGGAGTGTGACGGAACCGCTGGACTGAGGGTTCATGAGGAAAGCAAGGAAAGTCATATATGTGTTCCCTTCCTCGAGCTGTGTGCCTGGTGGCCAGAGTATGGAGTTGTTGATGAACTCGTATGTCGGAACTTGATCTCTGGACAGAAATTCTTGGACATCGAGTGGAAGCGCCGAATACTCCTCGTACGATTCCAAATCCGTTAGTTTGAGGAAGCCGCCCCAAAGTGAGGAATTCTGGAGGGCGAAGGCGCCAGTTTGGTCTTTGGTCCAGGATTCTTGAGCTTCAGCGACAAGGGCGGGGTTATTGTCAAAGGCGTATTTGGAGTTGATTGAGCCCGAGACTTCGACTGTCATGAAGGTGAGGACGTGATCTTTAAGGTGCTTCCCGACCCCAGGCAAGTCGATCTTGACGTCGATACCGACTGCCTCGAGCTCGGATTGCGGTCCGATGCCGTTTAGAAGGAGGAGCTTTGGCGTGTCGATCGAGCCGCCACAAACGATGACTTCGTTGTTTGCCATTGCTGGTATCTTGTCAGTGCTTGTAATTTCTCTGATCAATCTTAGTCCAAGGCTGTACCTTCTCGTCCGTCTTCCGTGACAACGCCAACGACCTTCTTCCCCTCCCATACGAATTTTTCCGCTTTCGCATCTGTCCACACCTCAAGATTGCTCGGCGGGTCCACCAAATGCGCAATCGCACTAGTACTCCTCCCCTCCTTACTATAGCTATGCGGGAAGACTGCAATTCCTATCGGGTCGCCCGAATTGAGATCAAGGTTGATCTTTTCTCCCATAGCAGCCAGTGCCTCCATCTGCGGCACCACGCCTTGTTCGAGCACAGGCGGGAGACCAACCTTTAACTGCCCCTTCGTACCATGGGAATTAGTGCTAGGATCAGCAAGATGTTTGTAGTCTTCTGAACCCGAAAAGTCGTAGTTCTCGATAGCTTGGAAAGATTTCTTGACCGACTCCCATTTCCAGCTCTCATCGCCTACTAGATCGCTCCAGCGATTGTAATCTTCGCCACTGCCGTACAGATAAACGGCAAAGTTCAAGATGGAACTCCCGCCCAAACCTTTGCCTCTTGTATACGGTATGTTTCTGCTGTTCAAAGCAGGCTCAGGTTCGGAGACGTAGCCGTGGTCAAGATCTGGACGGAGAGCTTGGGCGTAGTAACGGTGGTAGGGCGCACGGAGGTAGTCACCAGAGGGGGTGGTGCCTGCTTCAAGAAGGAGAACAGAGGGTTTGCGTAGCGAATGGGAGAGTCGGTGGGCGAGGAGACAGCCTGACGTTCCACCTGAGGATAGAACCATTAGTGTTGAAGGATGCATAGGAGGACAACGGGAACGAACCGCCAACGATCACGAAATCGTACTTGGGTGTCATTCTCAGGGTTCAGGTGCGCGATACAACTAAGTAGTTGGTAAATAGGATGCAGACTCGAAATCTGCGCGGTTGCGCTATCTTATATCTCCCATTGCTGGATGCAAGTAGCATGCACCCTGAATTCCAACTTCATGCACCGACAATATCGAGGCACAGGACATGGAGAGCGCTGCCGTCGGGAAGCCTTCGCACATGCTTAGTGGCTTGGTTGGTCCCGAGCATTTGGAAGAACGTACGAGGTAGCAGCATCCGGACAGTCTAGCCGTATCTGGTCCCTGACGCGTGCATGTAAGCTAACTTAGCGGCTTCCAGCTGAGTGATGGAGGGATGTGTAAGCAGCCATTTAGGAGACCTACCACATTGAAGCTGGAAACGCCTGCCTAAATTGTATAGCTCATATTGCGGATCAAGCCAAGGATTTTATGATCTTAGCAACCTTGGAAGTCTCCAACTCTGTCTTTAACAACGCTGTGTCACAAAGTACAACTTATATACTGGACGCAATAGGTTGACAGACGGTTCGGAAAGAAAGCGATACTACATACATTGATGAAGGGTATTTACTAACTGGCCCAGTTGAATCTGGTAATGAAGCGCTTTCCGCCGGAAAACCCAATCGTCATCATGAGTACCTAGGTATGTTGCAAGACGTGGTAGCAATGATCTCAGCTGACGAGGTAGCTATATCCGGTATTCCAAATTCTCAGACACGGCTTATCTTGACATCGGAAATCTCACAGCGTTGTCTTAACACAGGTCCAATACACAGTACATCTGGTCTACCGAGCAAAGCTTGATGACTTTAGTCATCTGGTGAAAGACGCAGACAGGCGGGCGTACTGGGATCACATCTATCTATCATGCCGCAGCTGGGGGTACTTAGTTACGGCTTATCATTAGCTGACGACTCGGTATCTTGGGTTGCCGTGCGCGTTCTGTAAGTCTCGGCTGCATGCCGTTAGCACCACCTCCATCTGACGAAAGGGGGTTTCAGACATAAACGTACCACTAACGCACCCCTCAAGTTCAAAATGTAGATCTGAGAAAAGACGAGGCTGCTGTCACGCAACATCAATCCTTATCTAGCCTCTCCTCACAAACTGCACGGCCGCTAATGCTTCACAGATTTCTTTCAGCTTGCCGCTTTCTCTGGCCTCTGGGGGATGCTCGAAACGTCTTCGGTTGAGAGCCTGGTGACTTCGTTGTGTGTAATCACTGTCGACATCAAACTCCCCGGTATGCTATTCCTCAGCCAATCTGGTTTTCTGAACAACCTCTTGCTCTCAGACGCTGCACAAGGGCCTTCAACTGCGTCCAGATTTGGAAGTCCTTGCTCAACGTCACTCCGACCACCTCGGTGTCTTTCTTCATCACTGCTAGAAACTGTGGCGAGACTGCGGTGGTGAAGTGGCGAGAATTTTGAGAAGCTGCGTGCGATCAACGCGCGCAGATCTGGCAGCGACGCTGCGATTATGGCAAATGAGATTTGAATGGCAACCAAAATGTTGACAGCGCTGCCAAAATATCGCATATTGCCTTCGCGACGCTTAATGAACGGAATCTGGAGAAGAGCGACAATACAAACGACAAATCCCAGACCGAAGATGAGTACAAGGCCAAGTCGTTGTCGGATCTTTAGTTTGGAGAGCTGCCACACGTAGGGAATCGGGAGTGCGAAGATCAAGCTATCAACTATACTATCACCAATGGCTGCAGAATAGCTATATATCGCGGAGCTGAAGCACTGTGATCCAGTGAAGTCGAGCCAGTTCCTGGTCCATAGCTTGCTAATGTCTTCGCATAAGACTATGAGGACGGTGAGTACTTCGATGAAATGCGCAAGCGCCAGGAAGAGAAGAACGTAACAGCATCTTCGGAGCGATGCCATTCCCGGTGGAAAGATTCGAAGGTAATAAGCCAAAACCGAGAACCGCGTGAATGTGACAGCGAAGATGTACGCAACACGGCGCTCGAAGATGTGCTAACACATGTTAGTATGTTACGATGCACCAGGGGAATGACGCACTTGATAGAATGGGATTTCCGACGTTTTATCGGGACTAGCATAATGATTAGCACAGATCCTATCATTCGATGCACCCCATGCGCACCCTTTTCGGTCGTAGCCCCAATTGTCGTCCGCACTCATACAAGATATCACGGTACGTGCGACAGCCGCTGCCTGGTCGTGGTCAGCTTCGGTCAGGCATGGGCTGTACAAAGCGACGGGCTAGTTTAGTCCCTCACATACCGTGCCCAACATAATTAGAACATCATCAGGTGCGATCTTCCTCTTAATCGCTAGTCTTGAGTACACTCTCAGGATGACGGTGCTCAAAGCCAAGACCATCAACGGTACCTCCACTGCCAATGCTGTTTTGAAACCTCTGGTAGCATCCCCGGCGTTTACTTCGACGATCGGTTGTGTCATTGTGACATGAACATCCTGAATATCCGGTAAGACGTACATGGTCGAGTGTGATTGACGGGGCTTTGCAGTAACTAAGGATAAATTCGACCAGATTGGTCTACAACCGCGGAAACAAGGTGAAGTATCACCAGGAGAATGAACAAAAAATCAAGACTAGAGAAAGAGAACACAGGGTGGAATGATCTGATGCTGATGTTGATGTTCGCTCAGTGGCCGCCAAGCTTCAGCATGTGCTTTGATTGACGTGCCATGGAAGCTTACTGAGCACTTCGCGTAAGCCGCCCTGCCAATGGGAAATTGACTCCAGCTATGCGCGCATATAGTTTCTTGGCGGTGGTGCTGACACATCTCTAGCTGCACGAATGGTATCCTGCGAAAATATGGGGTATCATATATGTGAATTTGAAATGCCAAGTGAGCGGAGCGGAGTGTGAATATTGCTATATTTAGGTAATGACAATAGTACGTTGCAATTCTGGTGACTGAACAGACGTAGAGATAGTGATCAGCAGCGGCCAAGCTCACCTCAGAATATGCCCTCAATTTTCTCGGTCTGATCGAAATCGTACGCGTTGCCGTAAGGCCTGTTTAGGTAACTCTTAAGCAGATGCTCACTAGACACGTAAGTGGCAGCGATCTGCAAACCAGTCTTTTCATAGGGCAACCGGTCGGCAAGCTCTTCAGCGAACTCGACTTGCATCGAGTTCCTGTACCATGGCGCGAAGTGTACTGCAAAAGTTCAGGTATGTAGAAGACACAACGGCAGCGTTGACTTACTCATTGCAAGCATAACTCTCGGGTCTTGACCAAGGTTGGGCTTTCCTCCATGCCAAAGCCGAAGGTCGCGAACGACAATACTGCCTTTCTTAACAACTGGCTGAGATGGTGGTCGGACTTCGCGGCGAGCGTCAAGGAGATGCTGCTTGATCCTTCCGCTAGCACGATCGCCGTGTTCACCCTCTTGGTCGGCAATAGTGGTTCCTTGATGTGTGCCGAGCCAGATTTCCGTCGACCCATTCTCTGGTGTCATTGTTACGAGAGGAACATTTACCACGAGAGCGAAGGGAATCGAGGGGTGATCGAAGTCTGCGTCATTGTGGGTCGGTTGAGAAGCTGGCGGCGACGAAGCAGTAGGTGGCAGGGCAGTGTTTCCCGACATGAAGCGCAACGAAGGTCCGGGACCGAGTGTGGTTGAAGTGACTTGTGTGACAATCGGGTCTGTGATCTGTCATTGGTATGCGTTCGAACGGTCGGAAATCTAGCCGAACTGAACACTTACTGATGTAGATTTCATCGCTGAACCACTCATTGATCATAGGAGGGTCTTGCTGAATATTGCCTTTATTGTAGTTGAAGGGACTGTCCTTCCTTGCCTGCAGTTCGAGTGCATCTTGGACCATTTTCTTGTTGAGTCGGTCTAAGACTGCATGATCAACCATGTCTTCCAGCACCACAAGCCCATCTCGAGAGAGCGCTCTGATTGCGATCTCAAGATTGCGTTGGTCGAGCCTCCCGCTCTTTACTTCGGACGCAGAGGGTACAATGGATATGGGTGTTGATGAGAGGTGCGGAGTCGGCGGAGACATAATGGACTGGCAGATGACGCAATGATCAAAGGCGTGGAGCTGTAAGGGAAAGCGTAATCTGCTGATGTACTCGATGCTAGAGTAGGCAAAGCAACTATTTGTCGAATTTATATGTTATAAGCATCACACTCTGGAGTGAATAGCGGAATGTACGAAAGCGGTATGGGTGGGCGCTAAACTCAGTACAGCACTGCAGCCGTGTTTGTGGAGAACCTGGCCGCAGCCTGCATGTCCTCGTGAGACCCACGATGCGGGGAGCTTACTCTATACTTCGAGTAAAATCTGGTAGAGCATAAGATAGCTCTTAGACCAAGTCGGCAAGCAACAGATGTGTGCTTTCATAGAGTAGAAGATCCGACTTTCGTGGTCTCGAACCCTGAGGCCTCTGAGTTCAACGCGCTGTCACGCTCCGACGGAGCATCGGGCGCATTTCGATAGCGCAGCCGGTCAGGGATGGATGGTCAGAGGGGGCACAGCACAACATTTGAGCCTTCTGTAGTGGTGCGCCTGTGAAGTTAATATGGGGGCCTTCAACAGGGGACTTGTCAAAGTATCGCATTGCGTCAGGACAACTTGAACATTTCGACGTAACCATGTGTAATGCGTTCCAGGCGGACATGGAGCCCATATGGCAGTGCACGAACAAAGAAGAAGTCAACGCGACTCTGTCGCAACCAGGGCTCGTCGTGACTAAGGAAGGATTTAGGCAGGCACGGTGGCGTAGAATCGCGAATCACAGCGTTGGCAGGCGGGCAGGTGACAAGGATGGTGTTGAGTAGACGTGCGGAAAGCGGCATGACGCGAACCAAAGCAGGAGCCAGGGCCACCATCTCTCCACATTGTTTCCCAAGGGCCCACCAACCCTCCAACACACTCTAAACCATCGCACTGCCTCAACGACAATAGCAGTTATTGTGTACCTCTTCTCTGTACACGTCTACTCACAGGATTATGCCGCACGTATCATAAACGTCCAATCGATAACACGCGTCTGTACGCCCGCGCTCGCTAATCCGCTGCTCGTGCGACACTTGCAGCCTGGGAAACTGTTTCGAGCCTCGGATTCTACCAACACCACCTCATCAACCCATATACCCGAGACTACACACTATCGGCGCCATTGGTACTTGACAGCATTCGAGCCACACATCAGCCTAGCAAGTTCTGAGCACGAACGAGCCCGCTCACCAAACGACACATATTCAACCCGTACACACATCGCCATCATGCCGTCACAACGTCGCATGAAGTTCTTTGGCATCCTCATCGTCACCACAATTGTTGTCCTCTTCTACATGTCAAGAGCAGCACACCAAACACAATCATCGGATTTCTATACAAAGACGCAACAAGCCTTACAAGAGAAAGAATACGCAGAAGCGGCCAAGCAACGCGACGCGGAGAGCGTCGGATCGCGACTCAAAGCTGCCGAGGATCAGGCTAAGAAGAACGCCGAGAACAAATACGCGGACCACAAGGTCCAAGTTGAGGGTCAAGACCAGAAGAGCGTCGCGGGCAGAGTCAAGATGGATGGCGACAAGGTTCCTGGCGTCGCGCAACAGGGCGGTAGACCGCACGACCAAGCAGCGATGAAGGAGAATGAGACACTCGAAGACCATGAAGTTGAGATGGAGCTCAATGCCATCCTGAAGAAGAGCCCAAGTACGCTACTCCTGCATTACCCCTGTCCCACGCGTAGTCACTAACCAACCACAGTGATCATCTTCTCTAAATCCTACTGCCCTTACTCGAAGAAAGCGAAACACATTCTCCTCGAAAAATACAACATCAAACCCGAACCCTACGTCGTTGAGCTCGATCAAAGCCCAATAGGCCAACAACTACAAGCATTCCTACACAAGTCTACAGGTCGGCGGACAGTGCCCAACATTCTACTGATGGGCAAGAGCATCGGAGGTGGCGACGATATTGAAGAGCTTGATCAGACCGATACCCTTGTGGCCAAGATCAAGGAGATAGGCGGTAGCCGCATCACCGAGGTCGAGCACCGTGGCGCCCGCCATGAGATGCGACGAAAGATGAAGGCGTAGATGTCTTTGCGTCCTTCTCCGCCACTCTCCGTGTACTTCTAGGCCCATTTTTGGCGGCATCGCTTGGGTGCGACATGCTGTCTTGCGCATGTTTCAGGGTAGGTAGGATACGCTAGACGTGTGTACAGATGCACACCAAATGCTGGCGGTCCGCATAATGCGATGGATATACCCTTTATAGTTTCAGTATCTCGTACCGCTGGCCTTAGCCATGCACCAGAACTCGTCCTTGTCTAGTTGCCGTTTAGTGCCTGAGCTCTGTCATTGCCTTCCCAGTTGAGGCAGGACCGCTCCTCCCTCGCATGTTACCGTCTTCTCTCACCTATCTTGGGCGCTCTTGCCAGTCACATGCGACAAGCCACCTCCACGAAGCATGGGCTACTCACCAACCTTCTCTCACCTCACTGGTGTGACTTGCCAACCATCTTGGGGTCTACAGTGACAACTATCACGCCCTTACCTGCATTCCTTTCTTCCAGTATCCCTCAAAGTACCAGCACCCGCTCGCCTTAATCTGGAGTTACGCCTTGACGACGTGAGTGCATGCAAAACTCGTATCTCCCACAAGTCGCTGACTGTACCTAGGTCTGTCTAACATGTGTCTCTACTGGAAGAAGTTGCACACATGCAGCCACCTCTCTGACCGCCCCTACATCGAAATGTGCCGCACAGGCTTTCTATCCAACACAGTGTGTCCCGACATCAGCGAAGATGACAAGCCCCGTCCGTCGCACTTCCCTTGCTACCCTTGCATCAAGCTTGAGGCCCGCATCGAGGCCGAAGCTCAGATCCGATTCGAGCAACACGAGTTTGCCAAAGCCTACGAAACTCGTGAGCGTGCCATGAGAGAGAAGCAGGCAGCAGAACTGCGGGCCAAGGAGGAACGTGTTCGACGTGAGGCTCGTGACAGGGCGGCAAGAGAGCGAGAGGCAGAGCAGCGTATGAAGCGCGAAAAAGAAGAGGCTGAGCGCAGGGCCAAGAAGGAGGGAGGTGCTTGGATTGAGACCTCAGTTGGAAAGAAGCCCAAGAGCAAGAGAAGCGGCGGTGGTAGTGGGTCTGCAAGCACTCGCGCGATACCATTGAATTCCCTGTCCACCCTCAAGATGGCTACTGCTCCCAAGAACATCAACGAGATCGGTGGAGGCGTTGGAGGTGGTGAGAGGATGAGTCCCAAGAAGGATCTTGTTGACCCTGGTGGTAGAGCTGGTACTTGGGGACCTAAGAAGATCTTGAGCAGACAGGAGAACGTCGCTGGGATTAACATACATGTAGGGAAGTGAGCCGTTCAGGCATGAAACACGAAAACACATGATCTTCACAGCATAATGATGGCTGGCACGATGCTCCGTCACCCGTTGCACCTAGAAAACAGGTAGATCTTAAAAGTTATCATCCTATTCAATATTTCTGCTTTTCGACTATGATTACTTCACCATCCTGCTTGCCGGATAGCAGGACACATTCATAACATTCTGCCGTGCTACAAGAGAGAACTTAGGTAGAACAGACTGCTCGGTAGGTACGACGTGCTCGCATGCACCATCGCCTCGTTGGTGTCAAGTCCAAAGTGGTAGTCACGGTGAAGATGAAGGTGATTGAGGAAGGCACGGTCCGCGAAACCTCGTTCGTCGACTCAAATTTTTCTTTATGCCAGTCCACCCTTCCATCAACTCTCGTTTACCTCGCTCAGATCAGCAAACTCGACTCTCTGGTACATATTGCAGACATAATCCACGCGCATCTTCTTCAAGCTCGCCATCATGTCCACAACCTCAGAAGACGTTATCCACGCGGCAGTAACCGAATTTGGCGGCCTTCCGTCTTCCATGACCGCAGCAGCGTTTTTGGGAGTCGCGTTGTACCTCTGCATTGAGCTCAACGTTCGCCTGCTCACCAGGACCACAAGCCGCAGCTTGTACTTCTGGAGCTGCCTACTGTGCAGCTGGGGTCTCATCGTTCACGGCATCGCGATCCTCTTACTCAACTTCCACATATGGGAAGCGTACTCGTCTATCGTCGTTGTTGAGCTGGCGTGGTTGACATATGTGGTCGCTCAGTCGCTTGTCCTTTACTCTCGCCTCAACCTCGTACTGAGGAACACGCAAATCGGACGCTATGTCCTCTACATGATCGTTGTTGACTCGGTCATATTTGGCCTCACCACAGTTTTGCTCGGAATGATTGCTGCACGTCGTTCGTCGCAAGCCACTGTGCCATACTAATCGATCATAGCGTCACCCAAACTTCACAGCACGACTTCACCACGCCAATGTTACCTGGGACAAAGTGCAAGTCTCTGCGTTCTTCGTCCAAGAGGTAAGTTGCGACCGTACCAAAATGCATGTGAGACACGCACTAACTTGGTGTTTTCACTTTTACAGACCCTCATCAACATTCTCTACATCTACGAAACTGCCAAATACCTCAAGAATATGGAACTTCTTGGCAACTGCCGCCAAACCACGCGTACCAATCTTCGGAATCTCATCGCTGTCAATGTGCTTATAATCATACTCGATTGCAGCGTTATGGGGTTGTGTTTTAGCGGATACTTCGACCTTCAAGGCTTCTACAAGGTTGCTGTGTATGCTGTAAAGCTCCGTACCGAGTTTATGATTTTGAACCAGTTGCGGAAGGCGTTGACGGGCGCCTCGACCGGCGGATCAGGACTTGTTGTGCAAAGGGACGCTGGCATTTCTCTGCCAAAGAGGAACAACGTCGTTGAGGTCGTTGAATAATAGGACTGGGAAGGTAGACAGGCACATACATGGGAGATGGAATCTGAGTAAATAGCATGTGAGATAATGTTCTTTAACCAGATTCTCCTACCTTCATGGTCCCTATCTTTGTAGTAGCTTGTATCAATGCAACAACGTCTAAGCAGGCGTACGTTCTACTTTGAGACAGATGTGTCAAGTGCGCTTCCCTAGTAGTGGATACGATGAAAAAACACATTGATCGTGACGTGAAGACGGTTGCCAGATAGCCGAAGCGGGCCACGCAAGTACTGCTTGGTGGCGTTGTCTGGCTTGACGCTAGACCATGTCCGGTATAGACCTCTGATCATGAACTCAAGATCTTGGAAAAATGGAGAGGCTAGACTATGGCGAAAAGCGAGATCTCGGTTTCAGCGCCGGTTTTGTGGATGTTAAAACTAGTATTGGAGCTCCACGGCAATAAGTGAAAGTGGAGTGAAGGAGAGTGGAGAAGAATTAGCAACAAGCGTGCTGGAAATTGACGCGGCAGCTGAGCTGACTGCGTAACCTTCAGCCTTGAGCGGATACGTTGGTCTGGGCACTGCATAGTGCATATAGTTTGGTGTCGCCGCCTGGGTCTTACAATCGCATTACCACGGAGACGTAAACCTATCAGGTGTTTGGCGTACCTACGCTGTTAGTGCATCTCGTTAGCTCTGTTCAGAGTTTGTAGCTACACGGCCATGCCGAAGTTACAGCTCCATGCAAGAGACAAGGCCAGACAAGGTCGCGCGACGGGGCCGCTTGCGATGTCGTCATCAGTTGGTGGCAACCAATTAGATCCTATCAGCTGTACCTCAGCCGTCTTGGAGACGGGGGCCGTTGAACGGACAAGGCTCAGATCAGCGATTAGATGGTAGCGCCTCTATCGCTTAGATCCGTTTTCGCGAGTAGTTGGTGGTAGCGTGAGAGGGCTGGGTGTTCCCCGCGCATATGTATAATACCTCGTCCCACTGTACCGGTCCTGTAACCTGCCATTACCACGAGGCGACCACTCTTTACTCAATCTACGTGAGGTCACCTGACAATACCCTGCACCTTACCGCTCGCTCACTCGCCACCAAGATGGACGCCAATCTGTCGGAGCGCAGCAAAGCGCACCTCAGCGATGATGAGAAGATACCTGTCGAGGTTCCCGAGACCGAGAAGATACCTGTCGAGCACCCAGAGAAAGCGCGCCCTCAAGTAGAGATTCCAATCTACAACGACGTAGAGCGTGTCGACCAAACCGACTTGTCCTTTGCTGCAATTCTCAAAGGCACTGCCGCAAACCCGCTCAATACCTTCGAGAAGAAGGCCGCTTTGATCAATGTTGAACTCGACAAGTTCGGAATGGGAAGGTACCAAATATGCATCTGGTTCCTCTGTGGCTTTGGATACTTTCTTGATCTCGCATGGTCACAAGGTGTCGGTCTGATTGCTTCAGCCATTTATCAGGAGGTGAGTTGTGCAACATCAAGCAGGTAACGCGTGCTAAAGTATCCACAGATGGGAGTCTCTGATGCACACACTGGAGACATCTTTGCAATTGCCAACGCAGGACTGGCTGTTGGTGCGCTTGGCTTTGGCCTTGCCGTCGATATTATTGGTCGTAAATGGGCTTTTAACCTCACTTGCCTTATCACTTCAATATTTGGGCTGTTGCTGGTACGCGAACAAAAATCACCTTTTTTGCAATCAAAAACTGACCAGTAACCAGGCTGCCCCCAAGTACAATTATGGTGCGATATGCGCTATCTACTTCCTTGCGTCCCTTGGTCTCGGAGGCAACATCCCGATTGATGCAACCATAGCACTTGAGTTTCTACCTCATAACCGACGTTTCCTTGTCGCCCTTCTTTCCATGTGGCAACCAATCGGTGTTGCTATTGCATCTTGCATCGCCTACGGCACCACCGGTCAAGCCAAATGGCGCTGTGATCCCGATTTGCCAGCTTGCCCCAGCGTCAATTCTGGAGAAGCCTGCTGTACAGTTGACAGCAACATGGGATGGCGCTACACTGTCATCGTTCTTGGATGCATGACGTTGGCAGTGTTCTTCCTCCGCTACTTCGTCTTCACTTTCCATGAGTCGCCTAAGTTCTTGCTTGCGAGAGGAAAAGAGCAAGAGGCTCTCGATGTTTTGCACAGGATTGCAAAGTTCAACAAGCAACCGGCCCCGACGTTGACCATGGAGATGTTCGCCGCCATAGATGATGCTTCTTCCAATGCTACATCAAGCGTACGAGTGTCAGACGAAGGCCCTCAAGACACCAAGACCACTACCAAGAAGGTCGTTAGCGGATTTGGAAAAGAATTGACTCGCCTCAAGGGTATCTTTACTAACAAACTATCCGCCTTTATTTTCGTCTTACTTGCGATCACATACATGGTGAGCATCATCACTCGCAGAAATTCTGGTATTTGCTAACAACGGATAGGGCGACTACTGGTCCTTCAATCTTGCGGGTAGCTTCCTTCCACTTATCCTGTTACGCAACAATGTTGACGAGGGTCGGGGAACCGTGAGCGACACATATCAGCAGTACCTCATCATCTACTTCCCAGGAATTATCGGTGCTCTCCTCGCTCTTGCATCTATCCAGTTGCCTCTTGTTGGCCGAAAATGGTCTCTGGTCTTCTCCGCTCTCTGCCAGGGTGTTTCCATGGCCATGTACACCCAGGTGTCTAACACTGCGGCTTATGTGGGTTTGAACGCTTTGGAATATATCATGCAAACTGTAAGTGCGGTATGCAAATGTCACTACTTTTAATACTGATAGAACTTTAGTATTTCAATGCCGTCTTGTATGCGTCCGCTCCGGAACTATTCGACACCGTCTATCGCGGCAGTGTGAGTGGCATGCTTTCGTGCCTAGGTCGTATTGCAGGAATTGTCGCACCCTATGCGGGTGCTCAGCTTCTTGCTAACAATAGTTCCGGTATCCTTTGGCTAGGTGCTGGTGGTATCTGGCTATCTGCACTGTTGATGTGCTTCTTGCCTGTGGAGATGAAGAACAGACAAATGTTCTAAGTAAGCGGAAGACTACGATTCACTAAAAGTTGGCTTTGATCTATGCCGTTAAAGAGATTCATCGATACCCCATGCTATAGAAAGCAATAAATTCATGCAAACAGAAGATCATGTTCACAATCCTGCCCAGACAAGCTCACACCGATCGCTCCTGCGCTATTCCTGTTTCCACTAGTCCGCAGCCGATGACGTAGACTCTTTTCCCAACATTCTCCAGAGGCTTGCTGTTGTCGTCGGCTCTGTCCAACCGCAACACCATTTCGTTTCTTGTCACGCTTGTCACGCGCTGGTTCTGCATCATGCGGTTGGTTTCTTTTTCTTTGCGTTTATCACTTCAGGTCCTCTTCCGACGCCTCTCCGGAGGGGGGACGCCCTTTGAGCTCGCCTTTGTCCAATGATTTCTGAGTTCCGCGGAGGGAACGCCGATACTTGCGGAATAAGGCAAATTTCCACTTCGCAACAATTGTATTCTCTGAATCACTGCAGCGCGCTCAAGATAGCGACACTTATGCACTGATTTCAGCATGAAATGCCTCCTCAATTGGGCGCACTTACCTCAAAGCACAAAAGAAGCTTTCAGTATACTGACCAAATGACAATCATCGAAAGCTAAAATGATACCAGCGTCAGGCAGCAAGCCTTGCAAGTTACTCGGCATCGTAAAGGCAACTATTAATTCCATTTGTCAACATCAAAAGGCGTTCAAGCCAATATACACAGCCGGTCACTCGTCACATGAGGAGTGTATGACCGGATAAGAGGGAGGTAGCGCCTTTCGGGAGATGGGAAATTACTATGAGGCCAAATTCGGCACCTGATTCTCAAAAGTATCAAATGCAGTGATGCAAAGTGACATTGAATGTTGCCATCTTTCTACACGTTGTGAGCAGATTCAAGAAGATGTACACGAAACAGTGCCCGCCTCGTCCTCATCTCTATCTTAGTCAATCTCTGACTCGCCTACCCCCAGCTATTCGAGGGATTCATACGTACCGATCAATCCGATTGCACAATATGTTACCGATGGCTGAATCTCAAGCCCAGAACCAGAGCCGTCGTGAAATTCAATCAGTGCTCGGACGTGTTACGGATGTTTACGATATGATCTAGCACCCACATGCCTTCCAGAACGACTGTCGTCTGTCTGAGGTGGCGCAGGAGAGACAAAACAGCCTTATCTCACGTTATGCTTACCGGATCGAAGTAGCGGAGAAAGTGATATTGAATCTGTTCGTAGTATACTCCTCCAGCATGGAAAAAACAAGTCGCCAACTAAGCCTGTATCTGTTGGCTCTGCACTCACTGCCTACAGGACGAAGGCTAACTCGCTAGTTGACGACACGATCACAGTGGGTTTTCCAGCCATGAGCCACAAAGTCAAACAACGTTCTCGATCTCGCTTGCTATGACGTTTCTAGGAAATGAGTAACTCAACGAAGTCCAAAGGGGCCTTGATATGCTTCCTAGAGCACTAACACCACCTGGGCACCTGCTCGTCCGAACAGCTGTTTTGAGCTTGACAACAAACCGCTGACATTACTAACTTCTTCCCAAAATCTGAAGGAAGACACCAAGCGATCGCTCTCGAGGATACCTAGACCCTTAAAGTCTGAGTTAACAGTGAAAGTGATGTCGCTCCCACAATGGATGCCTAGTTCTTCAGCCGGCATACTCACTTAGCCGCAAGAAGAACTGTACACTCCCACGATCAATGCACAAAACTCTAGGTATCACATTTACCTGTTCACAAGAAGAGCTAGACAATCCGCTTGCTTCGCTTTCGTCTTCCGCTCCGAAGCAAACTACTGGGAAATCTACTCTTGTACAGCCAAGAAAAAAAAATAGCTTCAAGACCCACTACCGAAATGAGGGCAAGCCAGTACGCCTACCCAAGGCGCTACCGTCAGCTTTATGTCCTGTCATCATGTCCTGACGCAACTCTTTGGAAGGCACAAAGCCATATGTATTCCCAGCGTCACCCTGCTGCGACTTCGCAGCTAGAAATGTTTCTAAATCCTGACCAACTCAACAAACAGACCATCTTTAGACTTACACGTACGGTTCGCGTGATGCTATCTCAATTGCGTTAGGATCAAACATCCAGCACCATGAACCCATTACGAGGCGAGGCGGAGTAGAAGATGGGTAACAGGAAGTACTGTAGAGAGATGTTTGGTAGTCTTGCTGAAATAACTGATAACACCTAAATGATTGAATGGGTAGTAGGGGCAGAGTAGCTAATACACAGGGACGAGAAAACGAAAGGCAAAGAGTAATGGGAGTTTGGTATGTCTAGGCGAAGACAAGATGTTTCCTCGCTCGATTGCGAATCATGACTTGTGTATAAAAGTTCAATGCCACAACTCAGTAAGAAGAATAACGGAGAGATTGCCATAGAATTGTGTAACTACATTTGTATAGTAGGAGAATAATGAAGAAGAGACATTGCACATCCAGCATGCGTATCATAAACAGTTCATCTACACTTTGCTCTTCTCATTCCCAACGACAAACACCTCAGTAGGTTCCACCTCAATCTCATCCGACGAAAACGTCCTAGAGCGACGGAAGACAGCTTCTTCAACAGTGTCATATACTACCGTGCCTTTCTTGTTCATCTCAGTCGCGTCTCGGAGTTGCCATCCGAATCTCGCAAAGCGCTCGCGGACGCGATCGTTCAAGCCCACAAGTCTGAACTGTGTGTTCTTTCCGCCATACGCTTCAATATCTGCCTTGAGATCCTTGAGATGTGTGAGACCAGTCGTATCTATGTTGTGCATCGCGTACATGTCCAGCACCACACTACGGATCTGAACAGGTTCTTCCAAAATCTCGGCCTTGGTGCGTAGACGCAAGGCACGATCTTTGCCTGCGACGCTCCAGTTGCGGTTTGCGTGGGCAGCCTCGAGGGTAGCCACGTCACCAGAATTGAAAGTCTGGACCGCGTCAAGGCATTGTGTTTTAATGTGGTAAGCATTATAGAAAAGCATGGATTGGTGAATGCGGAAAACTTGGGTATCAAGAGGGGTGGCATGCATGCCAGACTGGCGGCCGTGAGAGGTTACCTCGATAGAAGTGAGGCGGTGGACGCGGTGGAATGCCATGAAGAGAAGGTGGTAGACAATGTTGAACCCAACGGCCGTGCCAATGCCCACTTCTGATGAGACAAAGAGGGTAAGCCAGAAGGCTAGCATTGAGGTAGTGAAGTCGACGAGCGAGGTTCGCCAGTATCCGTAAAAGACTTTGAGAGGAACTACGATGTGCCAGACTGCTGTAACGATAATAGCGGCAAGTGTGGCTTTGGGGATCCAGTATAGTGCTGGTGAGAGCTTGAAGATACTAAGGATGACGACACCACCAGCAATCAGACCGTATGCCGGAGACTTGACGCCAGACTCTGAGTTAACAGCGGTACGTGACATGGCGCCACCTACTGCCATGGATGAGAAGAAGGAGTTGAAGAAGTTGGTAAACCCAAGGTAGACCAGCTCTTGTGCAGCATCAGTGACATATCCATTCTTGCGGCCAAAGGCTTTGGCAATAGCCAAGTGCTCAAGTGCTGCAGCAATGAAGGGCGCAATACTTCTAGCAAACACCTTTCCGATAAGAGCTGAGTCGGGCATCCGAGGTGTTGCAATGCCATCAGATTTGACTTTGCTGAGTGCCCAGACAGGGTCATCGTTCTCGAGGTCGATGTCCTTGTTGACTGCGTACGATATACCAGCGAAGAGGACGAGTACCACAGCACTGCGACCAAGCGCCAACAGCCATATAGCCTTGTTCTTCTTGCCCCAGCGCTGTCCCATCTTCTGCATGAGATATAGCATCAGCAAACCACCAAGACCGACTCCGCATGTCGGACCGTCGTACTGGGGTATCTTGGCGAAGAGGTCATGGATGATGTTGGCCGTACCAGACCCGACAGAAATGCCGAACAGCGAAGGGATCTGGCCGAGCATGATGACGATGGCGGCGGCGGAGATGAAGCCGCTCAAAACGGGCACGGAAATAAACTCTAGTAGGAAACCAAGCTTGAGCAAGCCTAGCGCCATAGAGTAGATACCGACGGACATGGCAACGGCGGAAGCGATTGCTTGTGGTGAGTATCCGTCTTGAGTAACATCTGCAATGATTTCTGCCGTCAACAGACCCATGAGCGAAGTCGGACCAGTGGACAAGTCTGGGAACGGTGTTAGCGGTCAATCTCGGCCCCAGTTGGATGGCTTACCTTTAGATGTTCCCATGACAAGGTAGAGAAAGTTTGGTAGCCAGCTTGACATGAGTCCATATTGTCCAGGTATTGTCGCAATCTTGGCATATGCCAGAGACTGAGGGATGAGGAGCACGCCGACAGTGATACCGGCCAGCGTGTCGTTGAGGAGCCATCGTGGATTGTACTTTGGCAACCATTGGATGATGGGCGCCTTTTGAAGCAGGTATTGGCCCGCAACCGAAGGAGCGGCACGAACAGCCTTGTTACCATACCGTACTGTACGCTGAAGGGTGGTGTCGGTGGCTATCGCTTCTCGACTCCGTTGGGCCTGCTTTCTGAAGAACTCCATGATGAACTGACGTGAAGCAAACAAATAGCAAGCGAACAATGAACAACCAAGATATAGGGAATCAAAAAAGGTTGAGCAGTCGAGGAGGCTAACTGAGGGGCAACACAGTGTACTTTGCGGCAAAGATATACTCCACGCATCCTGGAAAACGGCGTTATCAACGGCAAGGTAGCCTCATGTCGGTGCAACCGGGTCCTGAAGCCATAGCGCAGGAGCTGAACCTACTAGATGGCCTGCCAACACACCCACTTCTACCCGCTTACTCGCATGGAAACATGCTGAGAACGTCCAGGTGCTCTCGCATCGGGGTACTACCAATCATGGCAAATGGACATCGGCGTGCCGGTCTAGTGATATCCAATAAGGAAGGGAACTGCAACTGGCATACGTGATACCCTGTTCAAATCTCGACCTTCCGTCTTGAGGGACCGAGGCGCAAGCTGTAGGACGAGTGGAGAATTGACGTAGTAGCGATTCGATATTATTGTCGTAATACACCACTGAGGCGCAAAGACATAGTCACGCTGCCGATAGCAGCAGGGGGCACTAAGAGATTAGACAAGCGCTTGTCATGCTGCCGATATGTCTAAGCATAGGAAACCCAGGGTTCGGTCACATTTGACATTTTCCCCGAGCCCATCTGAAATACCATGAAACAGCGCAAACTGCTTGATTCAACTTGATAAGACGATACCAGCCAACCCTCATTGCGTTCTGAGGTGACTGTCTGCAAGAGACGAGATCTTTGGGAGTCGAATTACCCCGCAATACACTTCATCAACGCTGAACTAGCTTCCGTCAGCCACCCCGCGCAGGCCTGGTTGAAGTCGGACGCTAGCGCATTGAATTAAGCTTTGTGTCAAGCTCCACGAATAGATGGCCAAGAATCCTTGTCGAGTATCTCCCGGACGGAGCGTGTGCCGTGTCAGTGCAGCGGGTGATCGAAAGTTGGGACGAAACGTCCGCAACAGCGGTGATCCCTCAGCCTCAACCTGCACAAGTCGGCAGTTGTTTCGATGACCGCCAGGATGTAGAAACGTTGTGCAACTCGCCGAAATCATGACACGCAGATGTTTCAAGTTCGGCATGAAGACCGATTGTTGTTACCCCTCAACTGGTAGCGGCACGACCTAGACATACTGGACTGTGGTGCCCTTACTGAAGCATCACACCTGTTATGGAGCGCCAATCAGCCTCAGTGGCGTGCATGGAGTTGCTGTACTCGTGAGACCGAGACCGAGACGACCAGCGCCACGCGACAGCAACTTGGCAATTTTCAACGGCAAGGCATTCGTCAGCAACATACGCAATTGTAGTTACATCGCGGTTCAGTTCCATCCGCGACCGAACTGAATGTTCCAATTCCAATCTGTAAGGGCACGCTATGAAGCTCATAATCGGACCGCTATGTCGCGCTGATGCACACTGCACATGAGTTAGTGTAGCGACCATCTCTTACATGTCAACGATGAACAGCAAACTTGATCTGAGTGAAAGTGCATCAGCACATGCACGTGCCGAGCGGGATGAGTTGGCGCAAACGATAGATGCATGCAGTGTGACCAACAGGATTTGGGCCAATGAGGACGGTCTCCATGTTGCTGCAAGACGGCTCTCGCTAAGCCGTTCCGGAAGGTAGAGGTCGAAACAACCTCCCAACGACTTGCATGATGGTGTAGGATGTGGATGCGATAATTTGCTTGCATGGGCCATGTCCGTTACAAAATTTGTTTGCGATATCATGTCTTTCCATATGCAGAAGGTCGTCCGCTGATAAGAAAAAGAGCTTGAAGATTGAGGTTGTCAGTATGAGTTCAACATCAGTATCGTTGCCTCTACAGCGTTCCCCGCACTCGTTGGCTTGGCTGATGGTTAAGGCGGAACCAGCGTGCTCGTCGAAGCCAAGAGACGGTATACTGAGTAGTCTAGCCATGGCCAAGGCGGGACTGCCTCTGCCAATCGCATCGCCTAAACAGTAAGCAAACCAGGTCAAGGTCGTGCGTCGATCCATAGATGCAGTCAGGAACGGCACATGTCGCCGGCGTATTAGTTGGGGTGGGAGATGGCAAAGCCACCATGCAGCGACTCTCGCATATATTCCGGACAGAAGCCCGTCCGGCGACTTAGTCCCGCCAATGACGGCGATATGTCGGAAAGCCGTGAGAAAGTCGAAGGCTGGACCATGTGTCGACAGCACTATGATGGGTGAAGAAGTGAATGATTGGCTGGCGGAGTAGGATGTGTAACGACAGAGGGGTTGTGCATGGTGGCCTGGCATGTGGCGGCGACGCTGGTGGTTGTAATGGGTAATCAGATGTCTCGGCTAAGGAAAGATATTTGGGTATAGAAAGGGTGAGAGCATGACAGCATGAGAGCGTCGTCGTTGTCGCAAACGCTCCTGCAAAGAACCAGTGGGGTAGGCGCTAGAGAAGAAGCGCTGCAGGAAGCCGTTACTTCCCCCTTGTCAAGCATCAAGGCGAAGGGCGGCCGTGGCAGCCGCGGTCTGTAACCACGGTAACGGTGGTAGGAGGAGCGAAGGTGGGTCGCTCCGTGAAAGATGGCACGCCGCACATCGATGGAATGAAGGCGCAAGGTGATGGAGGATGGCGACGAGGGCGGCGGAGGTGAGAGATGGTGGTGAAGAGTGCCGTGTCGGAGACAGCGACGCAAGCTCCGTCTCCGCGCTAACGCCAAGACGAAATTTATTATCGATAGGGCATCTCTGAGGCCAGTGCAGAGCAGACGTCCCCGGTCAGAGTTGCATATCCAGAAGATTGGAACATGGCGCGCAAGAAGAAGAGCGCGCAGGCCGATGCGGCGCCCAGCGGCAGCGCCTCGTCGACGCCGCCGCCCGCCAGCAACGGGGCAGCCGCAGCGAAGAAGGCGGCCAGCGAGCCCTCGACGTCTGCCCTCATCATCTGTCGCAACAAGTGAGTTTGGGCGGGTACTGCCGTCTTGATGCAGAGAGACAATACCCTAATAGCGGCACTATAGGCATTGGCGCTACATCTCTTCGTTCCACGGCCCCTGGCTCCAGCTTCCCCCTGAGGTCCTCGAGTCGCTCGCCCATAGCAACTACCTCTCCCCGCGCCCGCACCCCATTGACCCCGCCGTCTTCTACGACCTTGTCAAGATCCGCAAGGCGGTTGACGAGGCCACCAACCTCGCTGTGCGCGCCACGTCGGGCTTGACGTCGGCCGCCCTCAGCAACAGCCTCAATAATGGGAATAGTATGCTTGGGAACGCGGCGGCGCTGGGGATAGGCTACGGGGGAGGTGGGACCTCGAAGCTGAGTAGAGAGCGGAAACACCGCATGCGCGAGCTGGCGACGAACAAGCTGAGCCAGGCATACCATCTCGACGAGATTGCCGCCAGTGTAGCTACCATGCAGAGCGCAAGCACGCTGGAAGACGTCGCGCACCTGGTGCTGCAGCGCGAGCCCAACAATATCGACGCCAAGTACGTCCACTTCTTCCACGAGAAGATTCCCAGCCGCATGATGGCGCAATGTACACCTTTGGATACTTTGAATGAAATCATCAGCGAGCGACCCAACGACGGGAGCCCCCTGCGTACACGCGCATTGACAAGGATATTCAAGGAGGACTATGTGAACTCGGCCAAGGACCTGAGTGAGGCTTTGAGTACCGCACGCTATATCATGGCGCAGCATCGAGCGGGCAAAGACCAGCTGGTGCTAGCAAAGACACTCCAGGAACAGTACGGGAGAGATTGGAGACAGGAGGTTAAGATCCCTGACGAAGACCACCCTAGTTCGCTTGAGACACAGTTACTGTTCCATCGCGCTGGCGTATACTTTACCATAGCATGCGGCCACGTCAATGCTGCATTAGATGGTCTACAGGCAGCCGAAGAGGCAAAGGCGCGGCGTGATGCTCAGATTGCTGAAGGCAAAGAACCAGATCCGGTGACACCAGAAGAAGCGCACGGCAATCACCTGCGTCTAGAAGCCCGCAAGCAAGTCCGCCAGAACGCCAAACGCGCTCTTCGAGACTACGTCGCCTTCCTCTCTCACTTCGACTATACCCCTGGCATCTCTGCCGAGCTTGCTGAAGAGTTCCTGCGTAGGTTAGGTAATTCGGCCAACGGCAATGCGAACGGTTATTCGAATGACAAGATCAAACCAAATATGAATCGCCTAATAGAGCAGACAAATGGCGCCTCGTCACCCATATCCGAAGCCCTCGTTCCCCATCGTGGTCCTACCAAGTCCTCTTCAGACCGCGCATCATGGCCTAAACTCCCCCCACCTGAGATCTTCAAAGTCTCCCAGCTCTTCGACGCTGCCCCTCCAAGCTCCTTACCCCCTTACCCACCACCCCGCAACTCCTCCGAGACCCCGGCCTCAGCAGCAGCCACCGCTTTTGCTGATAGTCACGAGAGCATAACTTACCATCCGCTCATTACAGACGCCCTGCACAGTCTTCTCCTCTGCCATGCACTCATTCAAACACCCCCCAAAGAACACCTCCGACATGCCCACAATGCCGCTCGCCTGGCCCGTGTCTGCGACGGCTACCCTATCTTCCTCGCTGCGCGATCCCCTGCACGCGCAGACTGGATCGAAGTCCTTCGACGAGCTGGAAACTGGATCGGCTTATCCACGTCCTGGGAGAATCTCTGCCGCCCGGCACCTCTACCTGGCCACGGCGGTGGTGGCAAGAACGGCTCTACAGACCTAGCAGGAAAGAACGGCATGAACGGTTCCAGCGGCGTTGAAACTGATGCTCAACGTCGCGAACGTCAAAAGCACGAAGCCATACTCGAAGCTCTAGCCGACGAACGTGTTGTTGACGAAGAAAGTTTCCAACGTGCAGTCCGCGCACGAGAACGCCGGAACAGAGAAGATGAGGAAGCCGAGAAGAAGAGACAGCAATCTCCTCCTAGTGATGCAGATGGGAATCCAGTGTCGCCGCAACCCACACCACCCAAGCGCTGGGCGCAGGACAACGGTCGCGAGTATCCCATCAGTACGGAGAGGGCGGAAGCTATCTCGCGCTGGGTTAGGGACGCGCCGCCGGTGGGTGAAAGCAGTGGAGCGAAGAACAAGAAGAGGACAAAGGGAAAAGGGAAGAAACCATCGCTGAGGGCAGGTGGAACGGGTTTGAGCCTTGCGGATAGTGTCGATGCGTTGAGTGTGCAGGAGGAAGACATTGATGAGTAGTGGCAGGTATGGTTGATAGAGAGGAATATCTGTATCGTGACGATTGGCAGATAAGCTAGATTATTTTTAGTGCCATTCAGGGCTTCGGCTTGATACATTTAAGAAACAGAGCAGTACGAACAAGTTCGTTCTTTTCTTCACTGTTAGTGTAATGTATTGTAATCCCACCTAGGCAATTACAGCAAAGACCCTTTACAGGGGATTTAGTGCTTCGTGTATAGCCTGGAAAAACGTCCTGCCTCGTAATGCTCGCAGATTGTAACAGACTGTCAGAAGTGTTTTCATATTTTAATTTGTTTTTTGTCTGCAATGAGGCTATGGTGTCTTCAGCTTTGGCTACTTCCTTTCTCGAATACCCTTCTTTTCATTATGTGAGTCCATAGCCGTCTTGTATTGACGACGTGCCTCCTCGAAATCTCAATCAACCACAAAGGCCCTTTCAGATCCACCAGTAGCAAGATGCTCAAAATCGAGCGATTCCAAACTCAACGCATCCACTTCATCGACGAGCTTCTGCCAGATCTTCTCCGAATTCTCTACTGTTACTGTTCCTTCAGTCCACTTGTATTGTAGGTCCTCCTCCGTAACTACGAAGCTGTCGCCTTCGTCGTCTTCGAGTAAGCCGTGTGGCTTTTCGGGCGCCAGGCTGTTGTTCAATATGCGATTAAGCGGCAACATGTTAGCTGCGAGCCAATATGCGCGATGGAAGCGTTTCTCCGAAGCCTTCATGTCGGGATGCCATTTTTGCTTGACAGTGAGGTAGCCATGATTTGAGCATGAGTCGAACCACTCCGGAATACTGGGGGCGATAGTCGTCCAATGGATCTCGTTATGCTCATGGGCATACAATCCATATACACCAATACTGGTAGTCGATACAGGTGACATGCCCCACTCGAACGGATTTGCTGCATTATGTAGGACCAGAATAGACAGTCTATCACCATCCTTGATGAAACCCTTAGTTGTATGAGCGCGCCACTTATGCTCATCCGAATCGTAGATGTTTTGCTGGAAGTGGTTTTCCAAGAAGCACTCAGCAAAATCAAAGTCTTTTTCGGCTTGTAGTTGGTAGAGCTTGACTGGCCATCTGTACTCATCGTAGTTACGAGTGATGTGTTGAGGTATAGTCTCAAGGTCGATAATGTTGAGGGATGACGGTGGAAGTGGCGTGGGTGTATGTGGTGGATGCTGAGACGGATACAGAGGGAGTTGTGCACCAAATACGCCCGCAGAATGCGGGTGATGGGATGATGGGATTGATGTGTGATACTGCTCCTGACCGATCCAGTCCATGTTGTAGGACAGCGGCTCTTGGGGGGTCGAGTGATAATTTATTACATCGCCGGAAGTGTCACTCTGCTGCTTTTGACCGTACGATGGATGCAGAGAGCGATGATGCGGAGCTGGGGTAGGTGTGACTAGATCATCGAGGATCCCGACTTTGCGTTTACGACGGGGGGTTGATGCAGGTTCAGGGATTGGAGCATACTGCGGCGCTGAATTTTGGGATGATATCGTCTTCCTCCTTGCTGCTTCGCCCTTTCGCCTGTATTCGTCCTGCTTCTTCCTTGTTGCTGCATCGACCTTTGAATCGTGGGATGCCAGGTTGTGAGTTGGCCACTGCTGAATAGAGGGCGCTTTAAGAGTCGGCTTCAGGTAAGTGATCTGCTGTTGGGGTGACGAGTGTAACAGGTTCGCGGATGGATGTAGGCGGGGAGGTTGGATAGTATGCTGGCGTGATGAGGCACTTTGGAAATCAGGTCGTCCTGTGAGTCGATCATGTGCTGGTGTGTATGTGCCATACGGGGACGTGTAGTTTGCCTGGGTCTCCGGTAGCGGAGAATAGTCTGGAGGACTTCGCATAGACAGTGAGGTCTTCCATTGGCCATGATATTGGGGGAAATCGTTTTGGTGGTGAAAAGGCGGAGTAGGCGGTCGCTCTCCGTCCGTCCAACGCGGCATAGGCACGTTGTACCTATGCTGCGGCCGGTGGATGGTTTCCGAATCAAGAGAAAGGGAAGTTGGGATGGAACCACTGGCGGAAGTCTTGTGTTGCAAGTGGTCGCCAAAGGCAGCGCCAATGAGGTTCTTGCGCATGGTAGTAGTGTCATACAGGTCATCCAAAGCCATATCCCGAGGCCAGCCAGCAGGCGCGCCGTATTGAGAAGGGTCCATCTGAAGTACTTGCAGCAGGTCGAGTCGAGTGGCTCATATTTGATGATGAAAGAGGCGAGCGGGGGTTGCTGACTATTTATACTGCCGTTGCTCGTGGTGACGGACGCGTGGAAGGCGCCAACGATGAGTGATAGAAGGTGCGCTACCCAACAACAGACTTTAGCACACCGACAGAAGAAGTCATAACGTGTCTCCTGCCTTCACCCAATGATTGCGTGTAGGGACCAGCCAATCGCCACGTTGAGACTGTGATGTCGCTGCCTGGCTGTCCTGATGTTGGCGTAATGAGACGAATTGGGAGATTGCAATGGCAAACGCAGCTATGATCGCGAAGGATAGAATCAAGACTTTTGAACAGAGGTAGTGTAAGGTAGAAAGCTTATATATAGACGTTGCAGATGAGAATGGGTTTAGGTGAACAAATCGGAAACGCCTAATGCAAGCTGAAAATGCAGACATTCACAACACTTGTCTTTTGAGAGCCACTTACATACATATCTCTACAAGAGCGCCAGACTGGCCCGAAGCAGCTGATCTGGGCGAATCACTAGACGGCTCGATCTGTGCCAAGCCTGCAGGCAAAAGCAAGATCCATGGTTTATTGTGGAACTCTGGGCAAACTGAATGAAAAATGCATACACGAAGATAGTCTTACCCAGTATCTCGCTGATGAGTCGTATGAAGGATCCCCAGTACTTCCATCTCTTTCCTATGCTTGTTTACTCAAGCTTGCACTTCAACGCCGGGAGATCAGACATAAAAGCTTGAAACAGAGACCGAAGCGAGACATGCTGTGTCGCGCGCGGTCCATGAGAGGGATTGCAAGACTAAACAACACGCTTGACCTGTTTATCATGTTAGTTGAGCACTTGGAGGTGGTAGACTGGAATGCGCAGGTGCTGGTTACCTCAAAGAAACGTTTCAGCCACCACACTTGGAAGAAACCCTGGCCAACCAGTACCATGAGCTGGAAGATGCTCCACCACTTGATGCGCGCATTGGTGCTCTCGGCAGTGTTCCTGTGTACGCGCTCGCGCACGATGATGTAGCCCTGCTCGTCCTTGACTTGCGCGACGAGTTCCGACATGGTTCGCACTATGTTCTGTCAGCATGGTCCTCTCAAGCCGACCTAAGGTGTGTCCTCACCCTCCTTCTCCAAAGGATCTTGTGGCGCCTCGGATTCGGGAACGTAGACAATGCCGTGCACATTGAATGAAACCTCTTTCGTGTTCGCGCCCCAGTGCTCGTTGTTGAAGCAGTACGTGTATTTGCCATCCTCTTTCGCATCGAAGGAATGGTCGCCAGAGGATACGCCGCGTTCGTGAACCTGGTAACTTCGAGAGGGCGTCTCGATCTATGCATAGCAAGTCAGCTATGCGGCTTAGAGGTGATGATTGAGACACAATTGACGCACCCAGAAGTCGATTTCAAGGTTTCCACTGCCTCCAAACTCCCGGTCGCCGACTTGGAAGGTGACCGTCATCTTGTCATCTTTGTGGAGAGATTCGTGGAAGCATTCGCGCTGGTGAGCCTTCATTTGGATGTTGTGCGCTGTCGCAAATGATAGCAGGCTGCTTGCCGCAGCAAGAATGGCGAAGGACGGGAACAGCATGGTGGAAGTGTGGTGATGCTGCTCTGGTTGTGTGTTCGGTTCGTATGTTTCGTGGAGCGCCAAGCTGCATACACGGAGATGCCAGCTTGCCCGCAATGCAAGGGCCAGAACGCTATAGTGTAGCTTAGTCAGCCAGCGCTCCATCTCAACTTCCTCCAAACGGAGTCTTTCTCGTTCATACACCCACGATGATGTCGTCAACCAATGCAGCATATGTTCCATCTAGTAACAACTAGATAAGATGTTAGGCTTATTTCTATGACACCGACCGCAGAGGCTGTAGTCTTCGGACTCGCCGTGCAATACACTGCCTCTACACGCGCTGACATCCGCTACCATCAAAGGCCTTCCACCGTCACAACCGTGTGCTATGTAGGATGTGACAGTGATATCTGAGAACTTTGAAGGTTCTCTCATAAGCCATTCAACCAAAAGTTTAGTTCAAAGGGTCCTCTTGTCCGCCAGATGTGGCGAAGGTAACGCCAATGCAGCTTTCATGTCC